ACGCTTACAAAGATAGCGTCACTTAAACTGAATTTCAATGCGAATAGTCAGCACATTTTCATTTCCAATACAAAAATACAAATGTGTTTACGCATCAACTCCTCCTTCGCGAAGTCGGGAAAGACGGAGGCAGCGCGGCGCGGGAGGGGGCGGCAAACCGGCGGACCGGCGAGCTCCGCAGCGCGAACACACACAACCACCTTCACTTCTGAACGGGACTCAACAACTACAAGACGCACAATATTATGTACAATTAGTTCATATTAAACCAAATATAATTTAACAGTATTTTATAATTTAACGGCAGACTTCACAAACCTAAGAAACAAAACACAAAGGAAATACAGTCTGAAATTCACAATCAAGAACATGGTCCTTCGACGCCGATGATACTCAAGAATACCAGCATCAATACGGTCAGGCCAGTATTTCCTTTTATCCAAACCCAATCCTGTGCTCGTCGGTGCTAATACCGTAATTTTAAATCAATTCCAGTAAATTTTCGAATACGTGAACGCGGTGTGCAATCTACCTGCAAANATCGCGCGTTTCTCTCATTATTGTATTTTCATATATTTGTTAGTCGTTTGTTTTGTGTCTCGTTAATTTGTTAATAATCTGTAGTGTATCGTGTTGTCGTAATATAGAACTATTTCTCGTATTGTTTCGTTTAATTTTTTATATCCAGTAAACTCCAGTCGTGCGTCGGAGCGGACACACACACTTTTTTTTTATGTATGTTTAATTAATTTTTTTATTTTGAATGATACGTAGCATAATTTATCGCACACCAAAACGTAATTAGCATTGAAAATTATTCAAGACACCAAGTATAATTTGTAGTATAGACGATCATTGTTGTCAGCGATCCCCATAGATACAGCTCACTGAGTTTCTCGCCGCATCTCCTCAGTGGGTCGCGTTTCCGACTTTGTAGTAAATTTTGCGAAGCACTGCTCTTGCTAGGGCCAGTGTTAGCAACACCCGGAGTTTGAGCCCCGAAAGCTCACCTACACGCTAGGGTGAAGTCGAAATAGTCTCTCAAGGCTATCAGCTTAAGTTGTAAAAAAAAAGACAGCGATCTCTTCTACCATCTTCCTCTAAAGAAGTTTTGAAAAACACACGGCATGGACGTTGAGGTTTAGTTACTCGTTAAAATAAATTGTGACGTAATGCAAAACGTTAAGGTTGAAATTAAAAAAGTAAACAATAAACACGCTTGATAAACGGTGCCCGTTAAGTAAAAATAATGAGCACGAATGCCATAATTTTATTATCAGCTATTCAAAGATATCATTCAAAAGTAAAATAATAATGTAAAGTCAAGTTGGAGGTTATTTAACTACATGAGTGTACCAGGCTCACCGGAAACCATGAGAAGTGGCTATTGCTAGTAAAGCGCATAACAATTGCCCACAGGAATGATACTGACTGATAGCCACGACCGCTCTAACAAGAGTGATGCGACAAAGAAATTCAAGGATGTCATTACCCATCTTCTGGGTTCAGATTGGAACGATTATACCTATTTATACTATTGTCACCCAGGCTAAAAGTATTTAAAGATGTACAAATCAATATTTTGTCTACATACTTTTATAGTTATACTAGCGGCCCGCTCCGGCTCCGCTCGGGTCTTTAACAAAAATTTCAACGATATTTGACGTTGTTTTATTTTTTTAAATAAAATAGCACTTATTGCTGCATTTTTGTAAACAATAATGTGTTCTACAAAGTCGTAGTACATTATTTTATTCTATCATCAATAGTTTTCGCAGGGCACGCGATGTAAATGATATTTTAGGTAATTTTTTTAAACTTTGGGTTACGTTATTCGAGTTTTAGTAAACACCCCTAATTTTTTTCAAAAAAGATTATAGCCTTTGTCACTCGGGAATAGTGTAGCTTCACAAACAGTGAAAGAATTTTTCAAATCGGTTCAGTAGTTTCGGAACCTATTCAATACAAACAAACAAATCTTACCTCTTTATAATACTACTAGTATAGACTAGTATAGATAAATCTAATAAAATGGTAATAGCAAGCGTTCAATTCAGCTGATCATTGACATTTTGGTAATTCAAAATGTCAATGAACTTTTAAAGTGGACACACTTGAGCACACTTCAATGAAACCAAATCCAAGCACATTATCAGAAAGGAATATCGAAAGCAGTAAAACATTGGAACTAAAGAACCACGCTTACAAAGATAGCGTCACTTAAACTGAATTTCAATGAGAATAGTCAGCACATTTTCATTTCCAATACGATAATACAAATGTATTTCTATTGCATCTTAATATGTGAATTTCGTCACGACATCGTTAAGAGTTGGTCACAGTATCTATATATTAATACGTGAAGCAAAAACTTTGTATCCCTTTTTACAAAAATTGCGCGGACGGAGGAGTATGAAATTTTCCACACTTATAGAGAATATAGAGAAGAAGTGCACAATGCTAATATTTTTTTATAATAATGCATAAAAGATACATAAAATCAATAAAGAAAACATTACACACACTACATACCATGTATTTGACGCACACAAGCATGCATACTATTTATTGTCAAACTTTTGTTCTTGGCGTCTGTTCTCAAATTGAGAATAGATTAAATATTGTTTGTCTTTATTAATATTTTTTTATAGTGTAGCCTTGGCGAAATTTGTGATTATAGAAGTATAAAACACAAGCATAATAGTGTACAAACTTACAATTGCAATTAATTATAGTCGAATTTCGACTACTGCGGGACCGAGTATAGTTAAATCTTAGAAAACGCATTCGCATCTATGCGTAGTATAATTATTTATTATATTTTTTTAATGTTTGCCGTTTCGATCTTTTAAATACTAAGTAAAATAACATACAAAACAAAGTTAAAGAAAGGTTACGCAATATCAACGCAGTGGGCTGCAAATAAGTGAAGGGATATCTTGCAATTTCCGTCTGAGGACATCCTGTATAAGCGAAAGGTTCGAGAATTAACTTTGCAAACAGTCCATAAATACATCACAGATATAATTTGTTACTATCATGGAATAATAGCTTTATGGTCATAAGCTATAGAGCACAAATTTGTTTGATATACAATTTTCCTTTACACGGGCGATGAACCGCTTCGGTTAATTCAATGTAACAAACGGAGTTACTCGTTATTTCCGCAAATCAAAGAGAAGCGAAGAGGAATGTGATCCACACTCGACGGGCTCACTCGAGTAGATAATGGCCGGAAAATTGGGAGACACTTCCCGAAATTAGAATGGTTAAATTGCCTTTATCACTTTTACATTTTGTAGGCATAACTGGCATTGAATTTTCATACTATTTTCATATTAATTTTAAGTGGAAGTTATAGAAATACATAATATACTATAATCTTTTATATATATAAAAAATAATTGCTGTTCGTTAGTCTCGCTAAAACTCGAGAACGGCTGGACCAATTTGGCTAATTTTGGTCTTGAATTATTTGTGGAAGTCCAGAGAAGGTTTAAAAGGTAGATAAATATGAAAATGCTCGACAATTTTGTTTTTCCTTTGACGAGTCCTCCGTCGGACGGATTCCTTTTGTTTGTTTTAAGTTTATTTTATACAAAAGTTTAGGTCTTTTATTTATCGATTGAGGTGCTACGAAGTCTGCCGGGTCAGCTAGTATGTACTAAAACTAATATCGTAACAAAGTCACGAAAGCTTAATCACGAAAAAAATTGCTGAACTGATTTGGTTGCAATTTCGTATAGACAGTTTATAACCTTGGTATAATACATGTGATATTTTTATCAGAGTAAATAACACGAACGGGGTGTGTCGGTCATAATGAATACGACCGTCTGGTTCGTGGTTTTAATTACCAATCAATAGATCTACGAATCAACTGGGAGCTTATGGACCAAAGTGTGCAATACATGCAACTATTTATTAGGAAAAAATATAACATGTTTTATTCTTTCTGAATTACTGGTGGTAGGACCTCTTGTGAGTCCGCGCGGGTAGGTACCACCACCGTGCCTATTTCTGCCGTGAAGCAGTAATGCGTTTCGGTTTTAAGGGTAGGGCAGCCGTTGTAACTATACTTGAGACCTTAGAGCTTATATCTGATGGTGGGTGGCGCATTTATGTTGTAGATGTCTATGGGTGCCAGTAACCACTTAACACCAGGTGGGCTGTGAGCTCGTCAATCCATCTAAGCAATTAAAAAAATATTGCTAATTTAACGCGGTTGATAGGGCAAGGCACGTTCGGTACTCAACAATCGTGAAAAACTGTTTTTCCCTACCTACTCGGTGGTAGCCTAGGGGTTATTTATTCCAGTTCTATAAGGAAGTGTGTGAAAAATGTCAATTGAACATGCTATAAAAAAATAAGCGTAGGTTTTTAATATATATATTTTTTGAGAAAATAGTACGTCAATTGAGCAATTAAATTATGTATGAATGCGGTGGTGCTCGACGGAAATTCATTATACGTTAAATAGCTTGAAGTTGTAACATCCGCTCTAAGTAAATTCATACATGCTTGAAGTTGCACGTTTACCTAGTTTTACCATTTTTGATAGCTAGCGATGTAACTCGTTTTTCTTCCCTTTGCCAATTCGCTGTTTATTCAATGTTCAACCGTAAAACATTTATCCACATACTGCGTTGTTGGAACTCTAACAAAAACAATTTTCTTCGAAAACAAGGTTTATGTTACGATTTCTCGAGAAGTTTCATAAAACCGAAATCCAAAAAAGCAATTTTGATAAATAGCGCCTTATAAGTTTAATTTGGATTTCGAGTTTTAATAATAAACGCTTTAATAATAAGCATTAACTTGCTATAAGCATATGCTTGCTATAACCATAAGTATAAGCTTGCTATAAAGCATAAGTTTGCTATAAGCATAAGCATGCAAAAGTTAATTTGTATTGTAATAATACTGAAGTCGTAAGAGTGATAATATTCAGTGAGATATAAATAATCAGTGGTTTCTAATTAAGCGTTGTTTTGTTACAGCTATCGCTCTATGCGCCGTTAATGCTGCTGATATGGAAGATAAAGACAAGGAGAAGAGACAGACTAATGATGAACGCGTACCTACACATTTCATTTATAGGAATCCCAGAAAACAGGTAAAATGTTTTATCTATACATACATATAAATAAAATTAGAATGTCTGTTTGTAATATTGAAATAACCGCTTTTTACTACATGAATATGAATATATATACGGTACATACACCAAAATAACTTTTACAATTTTTGTCTGTCTTTCTGTCTGTCTGTCTGTCTGTTTGTTCCGACTAATCTCTGGAAGGCTGGACCGATTTTGATGAGACTTTCACTAATAGGTAGCTGATGATATAAGGAGTAACTTAGGCTACTTTTTTTAAACTAGCTTCGCCCCGTGGCATCACCCGCAGTTATTGTCGTACCGCGCGCAACATGGTGGGACTCGCCTATCAATAATAAATTTTAATGTTTCCGAAGCGAAGCGAGGGCAGGTCACTAGTATAGTATAAAAACGAAAACAAACGCTCTTTAACAGCCACCCGAACTAACAATTGATATCATCTTTCTTGGGTGCTTTTAGGTACCACAAGCACCGGTCACCGTCCTCGTTGAACCCGTTTTTGCGACGAAGGGCTCGACGATCGAATTAACACATAGACACAGCCCGCTGAATTTCTCGCCGAATCTTCTCAGTGGGTCGCGTTTCCAATCCGGTGGTAGATTCTGCGAAGCACTGCTCTTCCTAGGGCCAGTGTTAGCAACACTTCGGTTTGAGCCTCGTAAGCTCACCTAAATGTTAGAGCGAAGCTGATAAAGCCTCTCAAGGCTATCAGCATAGGTAGGGAAAAAAAAAAACTTTCCTGTTATGATATTAAAGCAAAGCTATCAAATTATTTTGTTATCATTCTTTTATGCAAGTGCAATTTTTTTTAATAAATCAGACGTCTCGAAATCGGTGCAAATTACGCTAAAAGGTTCATTCATTATATGCAAACAAGCATTCTTAAATCTCGAACTTATGAAAGCGTGTTCAAATAGCACACAAGGGAAAATGAACCGCAGTGCCGGAACTCATATAACATGTTATATTTCCAAAGAACATTTTCTTCTTGATAGTTCCTTTGCGAAATCTAATTATAAGTAGAAAAGAATAAGCCTAAACGCATATTATAAGCATGCGGCGTTTGAGACCGCACCTTTTTATGATGCGTAAGCCGGGACGCACTAGAGGTGGGAAAAAGAAGGCATCTTTTTACGGCCGAAAATTTAAAACGGATAAAAATATAATGTGTATAATTATTAAATAATATAATATAATAACTTAGAATTCTTTATGCCGCTACAACAATAAAACTCCTATTGTTTCAACTGTGGTGTTAATTACATAAAACACGATTTTACGGCGAAATAAAGAAGGGACTCTATATGGATTCCCTCAAGCATATACGGATAGGTCCACAGTCCACAGGTCCCGCTTATTTTGCCGCTATACATTATGAATTGAAGTATGGGACCACTATTATACAAAGTAGCTAAGACTTCGATCTCAGGTCTGCGAGAGGCGTTCACGTTTTGACAACTATAAACTCCAAATCCAGTGAATAACGTATTCTAAGTAAAACAAAAGCAATATATGTATATATAAATACATTTTATCAGAGACTTTCAAGATTTTATTCCTACCTAATCGCGGGTAGCCTTGAAGGAATATTCGGGCTTCACTGGACTGATAGGCAAGTTATTTTTCCAATCTCAGAAACGCGGGTATGACTTAAATATTTACAATCAATAGTTAAATAATATCAATAGTTTTATCACTGTAGTAAAATGTTCAGAATAAAAATAATTATTTCTAATACGCTTTTATTAGCTTCAGACGTATGTATGTTAGTATGTAACGGAATCTTTGAACATGATTTGACCCCCTTCAAAACGTTGGATTTACTTGAAATTTGGCATACTTATTAATGATGACAATTCAATATTTAAAAAATATATCGAAAAAATGGAATTTTACTGAAAAATGAAAAATAAATAATAGTTTAAAAAAAGCAAAAAAAATACGCTTTTGTAGAAAATCCAACTAAAAAATAGAAAATAAATTTATTAAATTTGAATTAGAAATAGTGTAAGAAAAAATGATTTTATTGTAAAAAAAGTGTGGGGTGCTTGGTATCAGTAGTTATAAATATTTTATGAACAGATGTGAGTAGAAGGGTTATCTATATATTAATACGTGAAGCAAAAACTTTGTATCCCTTTTTACGAAAATTGCGCGGACGAAGGAGTATGAAATTTTCCACATTTATAGAGAACTAGCGACCCGCCCTCGCTTCGCTTCGGAAACATTAAAACACACATGAAACCAAAAATATTAAAAAAATAAAAAATAAAAAAAGTAGCCTATGTTCATCAGGGACAATGTCGGCTTCTAATGGAAAAAGAATTTTTCAAATCGGTCCAGTAGTTTCGGAGCCTATTCGAAACAAACAAACAAACAAATCTTTCCTCTTTATAATATTAGTATAGATATAGAGAAGAAGTGCACAATGCACAATATTTTTTTAAAATAATGCATAAAAGATACATTAAATCAATAAAAAAAACGTTACACACACTACATACCATGTATTTGATGCACACACGCATGCATACTATTTATTGTCAAACTTTTGTTCTTGACATCTGTTGTCAAATTGTGAATAGATTATATATTGTTTGTCTTTGTTAGTATTTTTTATAATGTAGTCTTGGCGAAATTTCTGATTATAGAAGTATAATATACAATCATAATAGTGTACAATTCCAATTAATTATATTCAAATTTCGACTACTGCGGGACCTCTAGTTTTGATAATATCCTGAAAAGCACCCCATATTATTTTTTAGGTTGACTTGGAACGTGCTTGGTACTAAGACGTGTTTTAGTTCTTAAATATGTTATCCTTTATTTATTATAGGATTAACTTGGGTCTCGAATAAATTAGAACCGTTATAGATTCTATTTATGCGGTGTGGTTTGGCACACATACCCGTTTAGAGCGCTGGCATGCCAAGTTCCCTTCGCTCAACTAGCCGAATTCCCGGAAATGTTTTGAATTGATGAAATGGTTGCACAAATTGATTGGTTTCGCGTGTTTTTATTGAAGAGACAAGCGGCCCGCTCCGGCTCCGCTCGGCTCTTTAACAAAAATTTCAACGATATTTCACGTTGTTTTATTTTTTTAAATAAAAGAACACTTATTGCGACATAACTATAATAGTTAGACATATGTTGTCTGTTATCACGTGTTGTCACGCGATGTAAAGAATATTTTAGGTAATTTTTTTACACCTTGGGTTACATTATTGGAGTTTTAGTAAGGATCTCTAATTTTTATAGCCTATGTCACTCGGGAATAGTGTAGCTTCAAAACAGTGAAAGAATTTTTCAAATCGGTTCAGTAGTTTCGGAGCCTATTCAATACAAACAAACAAATCTTTCCTTTTTATAATATTAGTATACATATCGATTTCGTGCTACCGCGTCGGTAGTTACGGTTCCGTGTTTAAATAAATGTAAAACATTGTTTAATGGGGTATAATAACTAGAAATTACAATTTGCCTATACATTCATATTTAAAATCATGAATGAATAATAAACTTGAATGAATGCGGGTATAAAACTTAGAAAATTAATGCATTTGTTTAAAAGTGACTTCAATGACAACAAAAAATTGATTAAATACAGTAAATTGAGCAAAACTGTTTCTAAATATAGTCACATTCTAGGAATTTTGCCGTAAAAAATACTAAAACAAAACCTAAATGTCTGGAATGTAACCTAATGAAATTGTCCTAAGCCCTAGATCACCCTTTCACTTGTATGCGGTAGATTTTGTAATAATTTGTCCGGTTCTGAGCGATCACTATTCTAAGCTGCTTGTTCTGAATTAAAATGGAATGAATGTTTTGAAATTCAAAGGCCGTTTTACTTGTTGATTATTATACATAATGATAAGTTTGATAATCGGTATATGACAGGTTGTAATTCGCCAATATGACGGCAATGGCTTGTTACATATCAATCACTATGTCTTAATTTCCCAAAAATAAATCACGTATTTTATTTTGAAACTAAAACTGCTAATTAAGATGATTTTCTTACAACATTGTCACGGCATTTTACTCGTAAATGCGTATATAATAGCTATGTTGTTTCTTAACTGCTGAGTCCAAACAAGCGGTTCGGAAATGGCCCACAAAGGCATTACAGTGCAACTGTTAATAACATGGTATTCAGCTATGAATTCTTGTGTATTGTGAAACAATGAATATGTCATAGTTACAATAAGTAACTCGAAGGGGCTTCGCAAACGTTTGCAACTTATAATTAGATTTCGAATCTTCGTTATATGAGAAATAAAGCATATTCATTTATGTTGTCGACAGTTTCTTTAAGTAGTATGGTGAAAATGTTTCCGTAACATCTTAAATTCGACTGATAATACTAAAATAAATAAGCTATATATATTTTTATAATTCAATTTATCTTTATTATTGGCAAACAATGATAGCATTTTTTCTGATATTTTCGAGTTTTGAGACATTTGAAGCTTAGACCTCATGTCTTAAGGTCGGTTATAGCATTCAAGATGTCTATGAGGTCCGGTTACTATATTACAGCAGGTGGGCCGGGAAGTGTTTCACTCGTCTATGCAATAAAAATACCGAATTGATTTTATGATGCCCAATATTTTGTTTGTTGATAATTTAAGATAATAGTTACCTTTTTACAAACAAAACGAAATTTTTCTTCATAGTATTTTTTTTTCTTTTCTCTTTTTATCAGGCCCGTGTAGGCAGACGAGCATACGGCCCACCTGATGGTGAGTGGTTACCGTCGCCCATGGACGTCAGCAATGCCAGGGGCAGAGTCAAACCGTGGCCTACCGCTGCCGCTGTTTCCAATATACGAACTGAACTTTTGCAATATAAATTTGATTGGAATTAATAGATCCATTAAGGTTTGGCTGTACCTCTACATAGCTGACGTTATTACAAGTCGTCATTACGTAATTACATCAATGGTTTTCATTTCACGTAATACTACGGATAAAACCTAGGAAACCAACTCAGAATGCTGTTTCTATAAGTAATTGAAGCAATCTTTTTAGTAACAAAATAACAAACTATGTTAGTAAGGATATACATTTTAAAATCAAAATCTTGATATCTGTAAACTTTTGAGATGAAGGAAGCAATCTAATTATGAAGGTAACATATTTTTTCCCTGCCTATTCACAGGTAGCCTTGGGTACTATTCCATATATTGAAGGTGACATATTTATCTTATCTACCTATACTTAAAAATCTTTCTGAATTGAAAAGGCCTAAAACATTGAACCTACAATTATTGTTTTGTGAACTGCAACATACAATTCTAATAGAAACATTCAATTCTAATTACCAGAAGCCAGTGAAATAGACAACATTCTAGAGATAATTTTATTCGTTGAATGGACTCTTGTGGTACTTACAAAATATTTGCAGTAATAACAACAATAAAATTGTACAAAACTTGAACTTAATCTTTTTTTTTTTTTTGCTTACATGGATGGACGAGCTCACAGCCCACCTGGTATTAAGTGGTTACTGGAGCCCATAGACATCTACAACGTAGACGCACCACCCACCTTGAGATACAAGTTCTAAAGTCTCAGTATAGTTACAACGGTTGCTCCACCCTTCAAACCGAAACGCATTACTGCTTCACGGCAGAAATAGGCAGGCGGGTTTGATTTTTATTACACGATGTTATTCACCGTGGAATTGAATTTACGACGCGCGAAAGCTTAGCACACGAACAATGATAAATGTTCATTCATTTTCTTAAAGATCAAGATGCTGCAAATCATTTCACAGTCCCAATTCGATCGATAATACATTGCAACATACATAATTGGTCTTTTGTAAATTTATAGAATGAGATGGATTTAAATGCAAAAGTAATGGATGTGCTTTCACTTACATTATATTCGTAAATAACTTATCTTAGCGCGTTATCTATCTATAAAATGTTTGTATATATGTTTGTTCTCAATGCGTTCCTTAACAATTCATCTCATTGTGATAAAACTTAGTACTGTTGTCTCTGACTTTTGACTCTGCAGGAATACTTATACTTATATGTGAGTCGACTATTATCAAAGCCGGCAATGTGACTTTTGGACAATTATTGGTAAATCAGAAAAACGAATTATTGACTTTGTATTCCATTGGCAGTCAAAAAACTCTTCGGAACGACATCTTAGCTAAATAACAGGTTAACTATTAACCTTTATTTAATGCAGGTTTTGAACCGTATTCTTTGAAGGAGACGATTATATTCAAATCAATCTGTATTGACATATCAATAAAAATTTTTTGTCCAAATGTACAGATTGCCACCTTTGATAATAGACGACTCATGTTACTATTAATGTGGCATGGATGACTGGTTTAATTCAATTAACGAAATAGTACCTTCTCTGGTTCTCGCGACTCATATACATGACTAAACCTATTGTCACGGCTTAATTACGGTTTACTGGTGGTAGGACCTCTTGTGGGTCCGCGCGGGTAGGTACCACCACCCTGCCTATTTCTGCCGTGAAGCAGTAATGCGTTTCGCCTTGAAGGGTGGAGTAGCCGTTGTAACTATACTGAGACCTTAGAACTTATATCTCAGGGTGGGTGGCGCATTTACGTTGTAGATGTCTATGGGCTCCAGTAATCACTTAACACCAGGTGGGCTGTGAGCTCGTCCACCAATCTAAGCAATAAAAAAAAACGCGTTTTTTATTGCAATAATAGTAAGTATTTCTGAAGTTTCGAATCATTCACAATTTCGTGGTCACGGCCAAATGACTAAGGTGGTATTCATTGAAATCTGAATATTCTCCTTAAATATGTTCATAGGATATAATTTTACAGTAACAAATGCAAGATTAAACAGTAAAAGCGGTTTCAAGTTGCGACAGTCATTGCGGGGCAGGTTTAATATAATTGGTACTGGTCAAGTTTAGCTTATGCTCAGAGAGTTGAAACAGTTCGGTATGAAGGAATGTCTCTAACCTACGTTCGCCTGATCACGAGGCGTGCTAAGCCACGAGTTTTGAGCAATTTACGAGTTACTAGAGTGTGAAACCGGTTCATCTGTTGTAATTTGCAATTTGCCAAACTTCGGTAATCGTGAAAATTATTATTCGTTCCAAATAAAATCTTCTATCATTAATCTAGTGTTTGGTGACCCTGAGTACGGATTCTAGGTTAGATTCCCCGTCGGAATTCGTATCTTTGTTTTTCTCGAGTCATATACATAATTAATGTTATTTTTATTAGAAACTAACTGACCCGGCAGACTTCGTAGTGCCTCAATCGATAAATAAAAGACCTAAAGCTTTGTATAAAATAAATATAAAACAAACAAAAGGAATCCCTTCATATCAAAGGAAAAACAAAATTGTTATTTTTATTTAAATTCCGAGCATTTTCATATTTATCTACCTTTTAAACCTTCTCTGGACTTCCACAAATAATTCAAGACCAAAATTAGCCAAATCGGTCCAGCCGTTCTCGAGTTTTAGTGAGACTAAGGAACAGCAATTCATTTTTATTTATATAGATTTATTTTTACTAGATGAATATCTACCTAAATAACCTACTACTGGAACATTATGAACAATAAGGCCAATCGTGCGAATTGAAAACCTAATTGTTCGCCATTGTTTTTATAATTATAGCTCATGTAATCAAAAACAATTTTGAATTTTTTCCATCGACCGATTGTTAATGTGTACTTGTGTATGTAGTTTCCATATAATCTGCATATACATATGTGCGTTTCAATTTTTTTTATAATAACATCACTTTCACAACAATCTACCTCTAATTATATTACAATTAGTCTTCAATCACATTACGAAATATTCTCCAATTACTATTTTAAAACGGTAAGGTTTGGTTTGCGAAAGCGTTTTAGTGAAATTATAGGCTATTCTGTCATATTTGTATTACTTTTCATTGTTAGTTTGGTTTTTTTTTGTATTTTGTTCAAATTCAAATTCAAATTAAAAATCATTTCTTTCAACTTAGATGTCAGTATGACACACTTTTTGAATGTCAAAATATAAATAACAATGTTAACTCTACCACCGGTTCCAAAAAAAGCCACAGTCCTGAGAAGAACCAGCGAAACAAACTCAGCGTGCTTTTTTTGTTTGCTTTTCTCATTATTATTTTTTAAATAAATAAAATTATTTACAATAAAGGAAAAAACAAGTCAAAAAGTACAATAAAAAATAATAATAATAATAATGGAAATGAAAAGGCCAGGAGCGAACGCCTCATTCCCACGTAGTACCATCTATTCATTTTGAAATGTACCTATAGCCACTTCAGCTTATTAAGTTTTGAAACAAAGTGCTTAAGTTACAAAAAGGCAATTCTATTCCGTGTCAGCGAATATTAAGATCAGTCGATATATTGAGGTATAAAGTATTTGATTCACTTCTTTGATTAGTAATTAATTCGATGATATAATGCTTTTAATCTCGTATCTTACGGCTACTGTATAAATTAGCTAATTAATGTATTTACCCATAATATGTAACACTGCACAATCTTAGCTGTGTTAGATGTAGGATTTTCCAAGGTCTGGAAAATAAAATTTAACAAAACAAACTCGCACATGATCTATTTATTTATTTTCTACTACATTACATTACAAACATTTGATGCATATTTACTGGTGGTAGGACCTCTTGTGAGTCCGCACGGGTAGGTACCACCGCCCCGCCTGTTTCTGTCGTGAAGCAGTAATGCGTTTCGGGTTGAAGGGTGGGGCAGCCGTTGTAACTATACTGAGACCTTAGAACTTATATCTCAAGGTGGGTGGCGCATTGTAGATATCTATGAGCTCCAGTAACCACTTAACACCAGGTGGGCTGTGAGCTCGTCCACCCATCTAAGCACAAATAAAAAAATTAAAAATATATCGAGCAGTCGAAATTGCAATTATTTATTATTAAATTTATGTAAATTTAATGAGATTTTTTATGAAATAAATAAATTTACAGTTTTGGCAAAAAAAATCCAAATAATTTATACAATATTTTTGTAAATACATTTTTCAAAAGCTTCGTGTTTTTTTCAGGAACAAGTCGCCCCAGTTGAAGAGCCCCAACAAGACGAAGACAAAGCGCCCATTAGGTAATTAAAAATCTACAAAGTACTCATTACTTACTGGGACTTATACAGCTAGTAATACAATTCAATTCAATGAAGTTAAGATAATGAAATGACAGGCGCGTGCGTGACCCATCACATTTTCACTTGGTTTGACATCACTTTACATAATATGACTATGTATATGATATATGATCGGAGTAACAATTTACTGGTGGTAGGACCTCTTGTGAGTCCGCATAGGTCCACCACCCTGCCTATTTCTGTCGTGAAGCAGTAATGCGTTTCGGTTTGAAGGATGGGCCAGCTGTTGTAACTATACCGAGACCTTAGTACTCATATCTGAAGGTGGGTGGCAGTATTTACGGTGTAGATGTCTATGGGCTCCTGTAACCACTCAACATCAGGTGGTCTGTGAGCTCGTCCACCCATTTATGCCATAAAACTAAAATAAATGAAAAATAATTATAATGTATTATGTTTTAGATTATTTTTTATAGGTAAGATAAGAATGACGTAATAAAGTCTTATCGGGTGCTAATTTAATACCCGAACCTAAAGCCATAGCAGAGAAAATGTCGATGTCCACTTGGATATGAAATTATAATACCAATCGTTATCTCAATATTCATTCTGTTCACGGTGGTGGTGATCATGTAAACGACACTGTGTTTTTCCATTGCACGAGTAATTCATAAAAGTATCAAATTCGCACTTACTTAAAAAGTTAACTTTATTCTAAGAATCCAGTCATCATGTCCATACTTTTATTATTTTTATTTTTTAGTACTTAGATGGGTGGACGAGCGCACAGCCCACCTGGTGTTAAGTGGTTACTGGAGCCCATAGACATATACAACGTAAATGCACCATAAGGTCTAAGGTCTCAAGTATAGTTACAACGGCTGCCCCACCCTTCAAACCGAAACGCATTACGGCTTCACGGCAGAAATAAGCAGGGTGGTGGTACCCACTCGCGCGGACTCACAAGAGGCCCTACCACCTATAAAAACACAATAGCAATACGTAGCGTTTTGCTTCATTTTTAGCGCATCCATTCATTTCATTCATATTTATCCAGCAGAGCGGACGAGTATCGACCCGGGCAAGTGTTTTCACTTAACGCTCAGGAACTTCTAGACCTCCAGCCAGAAAGGAAAGCACCTCTTTCAAGTAATCAATTACTTCAGCAACTGTACTCGAATCCGCAACAAGATGACAAACAAAATTTGCAACAGTTCTATTATCTGGAACCTCAAGCGAGACAAGTTAGTATTTTGAATTGTAATTTTTGCCTTATTTCTATTTTGGATGCCTTATATACCTCAGTGCGTTTTTTTTTATTTACTTAAGAAAAAAATAATCTGAATATGTAGTTTTGAATTTACTTTACAAATTCAAATGAGAGCATTTAAAGTATGACCACAAAAAACTAAGCACTTACCAAACAAAACCTTAAATAAGTCAATGGTTCTTGTGGAAGTTCATGTTTGTTAACATCAACATTGGTTTAACCGGTTTCTATTTTATTTCTATTTCATTTCCGTAATTTATGTAAATCTTCCAAATCTCGGGCTTAAATTTCATTTGCTTCACTTAAACTCGTCTGGTTAATGTATTTAAGAACGGTCGGAATTAAGAATTTAATCATTTTCAGGTTCCCCAACTCCAGCCGTCGCATGCAGTGATCGCGCGTCCAAGTTATTCTTCGAATGGTGGTGAGGCATCAGTAGGAGCCGCACTTGCAGTCAGTGATAATGGTGCTAACTCAGCGAATACGTTTAACCATGAACTACTAGCCTTATTGGGCCAAGCGCCCATCAGACCCGAAGAATCACATCAGCAAACTTATTCCCAACAAGTCCAATCGCAACAATCATCCACTGTCGAAAGCATCGCACCCCAATATCAACAGGTCAGTATTTAATTTTAAATAAATTGTAAATTGAGTTTTCTTCATCATCTCTCATTCAGAATGAGGATAAAAGAGGTATCTTTCTTTATTGCACATAAATACAATACTTAAAACCATAAAAGCCAACATATAAACTAAAATCTAAGTTATCATCGTCAGTAATGAAGCATTTTTATCTAAATGAAGAAAAATAAAATAGAAAATTCTATATCCATTTTATAAATGTATTTTATTAAATTGTGTTTTTTTTTTTCATAAACTTAGGTCGACAGATATATCCTTAAATCAAACAAAAAATCAACGAAACCCCGTTCGAAAGTGGCAATCGCGCCTCCTCAAGCGTCTGCAGCTCCTCAACAATATTTGATCGAAACTACTAACATTCAACAGCAGCAACAACAGCATAAGCATCTCCAACAACAACAACAACAACAACCTCAGCCTTTACCTCAGTACCGTCCGGCACTCCCCCAGCAACGGATAGCACAAGTCTTACGTTACGTGTCTACGCCACAGCCACCCACGCAATTAGTTCATCAAGGACAACCACAATCATTCCAACAGACCCTGTACGAACGGCCTGAGTCTCAGGGTCTCAAGGTGGTCGCTCCACCTAAGCTGCAGTCCCTACAGCAATCAAGACCCCAGTATAACTACAGAATTATTCCACAGTATCAACAAGAAGCTACGCCCAAACAATACAGAATTGTCGAAGCGCCAAGAACACAGCAATTAAGACCAGAACAAAGACTGCAATCCCTAAGCATCGAAAGACCCGTTTCTTATTTGAAACGCTACCCTGAACCCGAAAAGTTTCGTTCTGTCAAGATTTACGACCCAGTCGGTGAAGGTTTGCCCCAGCCTACCCAAGTCTATAGTGAACAATATTTGCTTCGCCCGGTGTATACACAAAACGAACAGCGTCCCAGGTACGAACAACCGTCTCAAATATCCCCTAAATCGGAACAAGCACGTGTAGCTGAACAATCAAAACCACTTTCCACTATTTTCGTAAGTAAAAATTTGGCGCCGCGAAAATTAGCCAGACCACAACCAATGCATAGTGAACAAAACGTTCAAATTGAATCGGAGCAGCCATTGAGACTTGAGCAGTTTGCAAGCAATGAGCGTATTAACATTGAACAGCACGGGCGAGGCTTGGACGAACGGCGGTCTCAGCTGCCTCCCCCTAAAAACAACAAGGCGTACACTCCTGAAGAATTTGCTGCGTTAGTTGCCGCTGGATATGCAGTAACTCCGATCCCGGTAAGCTCTTTCAATCTTGACGTGGCTCAGTCGAGGTCACTGGTGGAAGCTATAACGCCACAGCCAACGATAGCGATGCAACAGAAACGACGGCCTGCCAGCAGACGTCACCAATACCTGCCTTTAAGAGGAGACGATGCGCCTTGAATGATCAACTGCCCTGTAGTTAGATTAAGACTTTAGTTCAATAAATTACCAGTGATACTTATAGCGTTCTTTCTTTTAATAACCAAAATATATCGAAAGCTATAAAATGAAATTGCTAACTCTGATTCCTCTGTTTTTTTCTACCTAAGCCGATGGTCTAGAGAGACCATATCAGTGTAACCTTAACTGGTAGGTGAGCTCACGGGGCTCAAACCTGACGACGTTGCTAGCACGAACCCTAGCAAGAGCCGTGCTTAGCAGAATCTACCACCGGATCGGAAACACGACGCACTAAGAAGATCCGGCTAGAAACTCAGTGGACTGTGTCTGTGGGTTAATTTACACGCCGAGTCCTTCGTCGCAAGCACCGGGTTCGACGAGAACGAACACCGGGGATTCCTCATTAATTCCCCTCCTCTATACGACGCAACTTCACATTTCGAATCACACGTATATACAATAAACAAACACACGCCTGATATTCATTTAATATATACACAAAAGGTTCATAGAATGTGATCATCTTAAACGCTTTGATAATTTTTAATCCGGCGTCCCTCGGGGCGTTCATTCAAAAGCGTCGTCATAATGGATCTTTTTATGTCCTCGTTTCGTGTATTGGTTCTCTCTTATATATTTTTCTTTGGCATTTTTTTTTCAATAGGGCTATTCGTTTAGGCGATGAATCTCATTTTTACTTGGCAGTCTTTGTTGGTTTCAATCACATTTTTTATTTATTTATTTATTTAATATATTTTGTACACACAGCTGTTAGAAAAGACACGTCAATAAGGATACAGAGTACAAGGGCACTACTTATTCCATGCTGAAATCTCTTCCAGTAGACCCGCAAAAGGAAAGAAGAATTAGGAACACAAACCTAGTGCATACAGTAAACATTACATATAGTAATATATACATATTACAAGATACAAAACAATATATATACATACAAATACACACACCCACACACACATACATATATATAACATACACACATATACTTACTTTATATTATAATACATTATACAAATATATAAAATTTATTTAAGATGGTAAGGATATATAATGTTCCTTAACAGATTTCTTGAACGCTGCTATGGTTTTGCACGCTCGTATGCTTGGAGGGAGGGAATTCCAAAGTATAACTGCTTTTACAGAAAACGATTTTGCATAAGCATGTGTTTTATGAACAGTTTTGTTAATTTTCTTCTAAAAACTTTCGTAATAATATTGTATAAATAAAACAAATAAATTCAGACTGTGTTAATGCATGTGTATTTATTAATGTTTAAAACACAAATAAATACACATGCTAAAATCCATCCACACATTTTTTCAATTAAGCTTAGAACAAAATAGAAATAAAACCGAAGACATGAAACGAATTGAAACGGGTACCAGTTTGAGAATCCATTCCCTTGATGAAAAATGTGTCTTTCGATGTGACTTTCACGTACATACATGATTATGTCGGTTTAATAATATCATTTCAATTTCACAGTACGTGAGTATCTTATTTGGCTTCGGGAGAATTAAACACGATAACGTTATTTGATGTGGAATAGAAATGTCAACTCAAATTTGGCTGTAATATTATCTCAATATTTTTTCATGCTTAAACAGGTGAACGTATATTTAATCCACCTTTACATTAGGTAAAGGATTTACTAATGATCACGGACTATGTAAGCTATTTTGTTAGATAATGTTGTTTAGTTTCATTTGAACAAAAACACGTGCTTCAGTTTTTTCAGCGAGCAAAAGGACTCTGAACGAATATTAAGCTGGAAGTAAATGAAAGTTGTTGTGATATCCTTTCGGTCGACATCAAACAGGGGGTTTTTTATTTATTGCTTAGATGTGTGGACGAGCTCACAGCCCACCTGGTGTTAAGTGATTACTGGAGCCCATAGACATCTACAACGTAAATGCGCCACCCAACTTGAGTTATAAGTTCTAAGGTCTCGGTATAGTTACAACGGCTGCCCCACCCTTCAAACCGAAACGCATTACTGCTTCACGGCAGAAATAGGCAGGGCGGTGGTACCTACCCGCGCGGACTCACAAGATGTCCTACCACCAGAATGAAGTTACATACATTTCCATTTCCATTAATGTGTATCAATTTTGGCTATTATAATGACTTCATCTGCTGATCCTATTAAAGTCTCCCTGTCAACCGTCTTTCGCTCTGTCGCTATTTTTTGTTCCACGGATTTTTTGTTTTCTTGTTCATATAATGAGCGTTTTTGATATTTAAATTTTTATTTCTGTTCCGTATGTTTTATCGATTGTCTTAAACCTTTTAAAAAATGTGTCTTAATAAAATTACCATAGGTCTTATTAAGCTACAAACATATTTTCATCGAGATTAGCAATTGTTGTTGTAGTCCTAGGGTACCCCGCTGGTACATAGGGCCCTAACAAGTTGTCTCCACTTTACCCTGTCTTGCGCTTGCTCCTTGACATCACTCCAGGTCACGTTGGCAGTCCTCATCTCACTCTCTACGGTGCGTCGCCAAGTGTGTACAGGGCGACCAGGTCTTCTCCTGCCAAGCGGTTGCCACTCAAACGCGATTGATGCTGCGTTGACTCCGCTGCGCCGTAGAGTGTGTCCTATCCAACGCCATTTCCGATGAGCAATGTCTTGCGCGATGGGATTTTGGTCACATTTAGTCCAAAGGTCTTTATTAGAGATAGTGACTGGCCAGAATATGCGTAGTATCGACCTCAAGCAATTGCTATTATGCTATTAGCAATTAAAGAGTACTTCGCTTTGTTGTTCATATAAAGTTTGTAATTTAACGATAAATGAAAAGGCATTTTTATGTACACCATGTGACTTATATTTCCAAATGTTAAAATTGAAAATAAAGTGTTTTGCGGCGTTCACGTTGTTTTGTCTATTGGCTCCGGTAACCATTTAATATCAAGTGGGCCGTAAGCAAGTTCACTCATCTACGCAACAAATAGATAAAAATATATGTTTGCTTCCACAAGATCTTTCTCGATGAGAATTTTGACGAATGATCTTGTAAAAACTAAAATAAACATAATATTCTCCGTAACTGTATTTACGAGTACTTTTGCAAATAAAATGACTCCGATAAGATTATAATTAAAGCTACAAGCGCTCCGAGCTATATTTTAATACATATCTTCAAGGCTTTTGTGTAGACTCAGACATTTTATAACATATTACAATATACACCATTCCTAAAATGACACAAAAGTATTCTTTAACCACAATGTACAAACGAACTCGTAATGAATAATGTCACATTTTCATTTAAATAGTTTTTGGATCTCACATTTGCTTTGTGAGTGGTATGTGGAGATGGTATGTTCTATATAGAATCAAAATATAGGATATATTATCATAAGTAAATGGTGATTGGTAATCAGAAAGTGCTCATAATATTCAGACGACGCAATCGCTCGAACTCTGATGGATATGTCTATTTAATGACACCCAGAGGACGAGTAGGGTACTTATTATTCTAGCATAGACATACGCAGCCACTTCGAGAAAAAATCTTGTAAAGTTAATCAAAATAAAACAGTATTTAATAAATAATTATATCTTGTCAGTTCTCGCAGGTAGGTACCACCATCCTGCCTATTTCTGCCGTGAAGCAGTAATGCGTTTCGGTTTGAGGGTGGGGCAGCCGTTGTAACTATACTGAGACCTTAGAACTTATATCTCAAGGTCGGTGGCGCATGTACGTTGTAGATATCTATGGACTCCAGTAACCACTTAACACCATTTGGGCTGTGAGCTTGTTCACCTATGTAAGCAATAAAAAAGAAAAAAAATCAAAATACTAACCAAACAATGTAACTTACCTAATACGTGAAACATGAAAAAAATACTGAAGACGCAATTTAACTTATTAATTTAAATTTATTGGATATATTGCGAATGTCTGCGATTCTCAAGAGTAAGCAGAGTTCGCGTAACCGTTTAAAATAAATTACGTATATTTCTGAAATTTTTTTTCAACAGAAGAGATCCGCAATTCACAGTGTTCATAAGCTTGTCTCGATCTTTCGGAGTCTTGAGGTCGGCATTATTTGAATCATGAATATTGTATTACGAGTATATATGTTTATATTTTATTGATACAATGAATTAAAAATATAGAAAGGCAGTAACTACAGAAGTGTTACATATATCGACGATTGTTAGAATGATTTTCTGTATTGCGGTTTTTTGCCGTTATTAAAGACTTTTCTTGAAGTTTTCACAGTAGACAGAGATGAATTTAGAGTTAAATAAAGCCTGTATTTCATTATGATTGGAGGCTGCAAAGAAGCTATCGCCATATTATTTTTAAAAATTACTTTTGTCCTGTTATATACCAGAAATTACGTAGCAAATAAAGTAGCAAGTAACTGGTGGTAGGACCTCTTGTGAGTCCACCAGGTAGGTACCACCACCCTGCCTATTTCCGCCGTGAAGCAGTAATGCGTTTCGGTTTGAAGGGTGGGACAGCCATTGTAACTATACCGAGACCTTAGTATTCATATCTCAAGGTGGGTGGCAGCATTTACCTTGTAGATGTCTATGGGCTCCTGTAATCACTTAACACCAGGTGGGCTGTAAGCTCTCCAAGCAATAAAAAAAATATCGGCCTATTCTGCGACATATATAAGATCCTCTGATCACATTCGATAGTCGATTCGATAGTAATATAAACTTCTTCTTTGGACTACCATCTACAACTTTTTTAGGGTGCTTTTAATACTTTTACCTAAGCAATTAGGAAAAGTGGTCTTATACAATTTTCATCAAATAATAATCTGTAACAAAATACGTTCGAGGCTGAACGAAATTTAAGCACGAAGGTCTTTTTATTTCAATTATTTCTTTACATTAACGAAGCCACACGTTTTCAATGGTATATTTAACGAGAAAAGTTAAGAAAACTCCCCAGATGAAAAGTTTACAAACTCCACCCACTAAAGGCACTTCGTGTAATTCTTATTAATATTCTTTCAAAGATAAAAAAAGAAGCTCCTTTTTTTCTAAAGTATATGATATTATT